TGAGGCTATGACGTCACTTCCGATGCTTCAATAATTTGATTTTTTTGTTACAGTATAATGACAACCAAATTACAGGATGTATGGCTCTGGTGTAGAGGTAGTATTTTTAGAATTATTAACAATTATAACTATGACCCATATTCATCTTTTCATTAATTCATGCTCTATGTGTACATTCTGTTTCTTGTTTATACTTCTGTTTTGTATCTTTCAAACTGTTTTAATGGAAGCATAGCTTAAAAGCTAATGTTCTTTGTACTATGATATCCGATGTTAGATAAAGCTTCTTATCATACCTCCATGTCAGAATGATGAGATCTGATTGGTCCATGTGATCTTGATAAAATACTGTGTAACCTGCCTTGGTTGGGAATAAATTTCTCAGCAGGGGAATAAATCTCTTATACCCCGCCACGAGCAATGCAGGCTGCATGTGAATATCTGAGAGGCAGAATAAATCCCTTATACACCACAGCTGCACGCTTTTCCCTGAGTCAGTGAAAGTCACGTGACATAGCACAAGTGTTAACCTCAGCTCAATCGAACAGCTATTTCCTATCAATTTTGAATTTGAGTTAATTCTTTTACAATATCACAGTAACACATGTTGGTAAGATAAACTTGTTGTAGCAGGATCACGAGGGGTACATGGGGTTTTATGTGACATTTGATTTTATGTGGTTTTGTCCAACTTATATTGTATCTTTGGCAGTAGGGTAAATAGTCTCCCTCAAATCTATGGCAGTGGGATAAATAGAAGAGTGAATTGTCCCCCTATAAATATTTGGCAGAAGGGTACATTGGTAAGGGTGGATTCAGAGGGAGGTGCAGGGGGTCCAGACCCCCCCTTTTGAAAACCAAATGTGGTATTTTGTAGGCACTAAAATTAACTGAGAGAGGATGTTGATATTTTGGACCCCTCCCTTTAATAAATGCTAGACCCGCCCTTTATCTTCTCCCTCTTCCACTCTTAAATCCTTTAGTCTTCCTTCATAAGCCTTTAACATTTCAGGTATGTGAGCATCGTAATGAACATCCCCCCTTGTAACAGAATGTATACACCGGTGTATAAACTGTAAACATTGTCAAACATTGTAATCAGTTGCTTGGATAAACTCCTGTCCGAGAGAGATTTTGTATCTGCCATTCCTGTCACCATGATACACAAATCTGTGCAGAAAGGACATGTAGATCTGAAGTAGACATGTACATCATGTCATAAAAATATTTGTTTCAAACTATGAGTCTGCCTTGTCTAGTGATGTGTGCTGATATACCAGCTGTACCATCTGTGAGAAGGTAACTTGTCCCCAGGGACATATTTGACTTTTGTATGTATTAATTTGATAAAAGGAATGAATGGCATTGCCGTCATAAGCAAGAGCATGTCATGGTCTTTGAATGACCATGATTTACAACTTTCTAGTTGCTTTATTTCAAGGAAATATTCACCAGTGTCCAGAAGAGGGGTTTCTGGATTAACAGAGTCCGGAGTATGAAGGTTTCACTGTATGTAATGAAAGATGACTTGACAAGCCATGGAAGGAGCATACGTGGGAGCCTCCATGTTGACAAGGGCACATGCAATTAATTCTGGTTTCAAATAGTGGAGATGCTATTCAGCATGATGAGCCTGTGTTGCATGAGGTGTATGTACATGTGTATGTCTGTATAATGACTGCAGTGTACAACATAGAGCCATGTTAGACACTCCAGTGCTAAGGGGGCGGTGGGGTGGCCTAGTGGTTAAAAGGTTTGCTTGTCACACCAAAGGCTGGAAGGCCCAAGAATCTCCCCAGGTATACTTTGGAGTGGGGGGGTATACTTTCAGACTTTACACTGGGTTTGATACCCACATGGGTAACGCGTGAAGCCCATTTCTCGTGTCCACTGTGATATTGCTGGAATATTGCTGGAAAATTGCTAAAGGCAGCGTAAAACCATACTCGCTCTAATTGTAGTATTTTGCACTGATCATAAGAGGGCTGTGGTGTTTCACAATACAGAGAGATTATTAGCTAAGTGTGTTTCCATGTCACAAATATCATAATTATAAGGGATAACAATTGTATTATGCAAACCTAATACAGATATATTTTTCTTTATGAATGATATTTACAATACAGAAACACACAAGGGTAATAAGCTCTTTTCTATATGATGTCTTTCTTAAAATAATCAATGTTTAAGACCTAATTTCGCCCAATGAAGTAACTTGGAGAAACTTGGAGAAACGTCCCATGTATCTTACAGTGACAATTGATTTGCTGCCATGTTTGTGTACATAATCACTAACACATCAGGATACCCCATTGTAGATTTATTGGGAATGTTTGTAGCTTATTGAGAAAGCAGACATTGAATAAATGCGAATAAATCACTGAGTACGTATTCCCTTCTTTCTATGCTGGTGGCACGGGTAACCCAGTTGTCTAAGGCGCCGCAATTCGCTGTGCAGAGTTGCATCACGCCAGAAACCTTTGGTTGTAGGTTTGAATCCTGGTTCGCCCCGATTATGTTTCTAGGTTTGTCATCACCATACCTGTGCTGACACACTGTGATTTAACTGGAATACTGTTAAAAGCGGTGTTAAACACAACTCACTCACTCTCTCACTCTTTCTATGCTTGATGACATGTACTTTGTTACATACAGTTCTACCAGACATTAATATTTCAGTTGAATCACAACCATCAATTGTAAAGGTGCTTTTACTTTGAAAAGTATGTTTGGAAAAGATAAAAAATGCAATGCCAACACTGCTCACATTTTCAAAGAAATTGTATCAAATCTTTTCTCCTTGTTCTTCCTTTAATTAAGAATATTTTTTATTCTCATGAAAGAATTTGTGAGCACTTTTGAGTTGAGTCATATTTATTTAAATGTGGAACATTTTGTGACTAAAGTCTTGTGTTTTGTTTTGATTTGCTAGGCAAATATTCTTGGTTCTCAGGTATTTCCTGGTTTAGCAAAAAACACCCCACATGAAAGCTAGTATTTCATTTCTTCTGAAAAACATTTTCAAGAGCATTTTTTTATCTTTAATGAGTGCAGAGCGTTTCAAAACAAAAAAGTCAATGTTAGAGAAGTTGGTTGACCTTTATGATAAGGGAAGTTTTATATTTTCAGTTGGTGTTGGTGACCGTAAACTTTCTACAATTTACATTTTTTTTAACCGTCTAGTTGATTGATCTAATTTTATCAAACTTTGTTTATATGTCCCTGGCCATGAATATGTTCATGGCATTAAAGTAATACGATATGCCTACTAGATGGACATCTTTGATTTTCTAAAAGAATCTTTTTCTTAAAAAGAAAATACTTGTAGGGTTGAAACTTTGTGTGATGTTTAACAGATGTATTATGTAATTGTTGAATCTTGAAAACAAATATTGCCATTTGTGGCCATTTGGAAAACTGCTGCTCTGCTATTGTTAAAAACAGTATTAATCTTAGATTGGCAATCATTAGATTAGGCAGTGGTGTCTCTTACTTCTGAAAGATAGCCTCCATTCCTTTGCAAACTTACACCATATGAAAAGCTGTATGTCATGACAATATCAATAACATTTGATCAAATTTGGTTGGCAGCTTGATGATTTCATTGTTTTAGTGCATGATGAGTTAATTGACAAATTTTTATTATGCCAGTTGCACAGAATTGGCCCAATTTAAATTTCTCTAATTCCTGTAAATGGGAACCAAAAGGAAATGAAACTTGTCCAATAGCTTTTCTGAGTATAAGTTTATTTACTTATCAATTTGATTTTTTATGATTATTGATGAGATCTGCTTCCTTTTGACTGGATGGATTTCTGTAGTTCCCATGAATTTACATGTATATATATAAACTGACGGCCCAAAGAAACTTTACCATAGTTTTAAATCACTCTAGTTTAAAAACTACAAAAGATAGATACTTGAAGTAAAATGCATTTGAAAAGATAAAAATCTTAATGAAATCAACATTTAAAATGACAGTAATAGAGCATCCATTGTAGGCATAATGTTTGCCTGAATTGAGGTGGTGTAGCACAAACAAACAAAAACAAAGGGTACACACATCGAAAATCGCTCAAGTTCAGTGACACTTCACATTAAAGGCGTGTATGAACAACCCCTGCTACAAAACACGCAAAAACTTGCCAAAGAACAGAAAAAGTCAGTCTTCTGATGACGTCATGTGGGATATGTTGCTGTTCTTAGTGGGCTTGGATCAGTTCTTGTCGGTTGGCTGGAGGTTATTGTTGCTGTCAAACATGACGATCCATGACATCTCAGAGGTGTTCTATGGGGCACATGTCTCGGGAGTGAGCAGCCCACGGCAACACGGTTGATGTTGTTGGCTGTAAGGAAGTTCTGTACGATTCGGACTGTATGGGGTCTGGCATTGTCATGCTGATAAAGGACACCACGTGGTAGCTGTTGTAGAAATGGTAGGACAGTACTAGTCGGACAAAGAATGTCATCCATGTAACACTGTCAAATTTCCATTAGCGATGACCAGTGATGTTCTCTCCTGACCACAAAATCCTCCCCACACCATAACACCCCCTCCACCATGTGGCATGACCTCATAAACGCAACATACAGCCGGACAAAGTCATTCTCCCCTTCTGTGGTAAAACATGCTGTCTTCCATCAGTTCTGAACAGACAGAACCGCCTTTCATCACCTCGAACAATGTATAGTCCTGGCCCATCTCAATCTCTGACAACGATGTTGCGCTGTCAATAAATGTCCTCGGTAAGGTCTGTAAACCCGGAGATGCAAAGTATGCAAGTATTGGTCTTCATTGGGCATAGTTACCCTTGGTTCTTGGAATTTCTTATGTCTGCTTGGTCTGTCTGTAATGTTGCATCAGGTTAGTTACAACAACATGTGTGCAACCAAAGGTTCTAGCAATGTCCCATTTGTATCATACCCAGGGCCTACTCACATTGATCGGGTGTTAGTAATGGCATTTCTCTGGTGTTTTTTTATCAGTGAGAGTGTCTGACATGCCGTAAGTATCATTTATGTACCCTTATTGCACATGTAGTTTTGGTTGCCCAAGCTGCACATGTTTTTCACTTTTTTTTGCATTTCCTACAAAAACATGTGCCATAGACGTATATCACTTTCTGCATAGAGCATAGTTGTGTTTTACATTGATGTAGTTTGAATTTGTTGCTTGAAAGAATCAAATATCCTTTAATTTTTTTCAAATTATTGTTAGTGTCACAAGTCCCTTAAGTCTGGATTAGGATGAACCTTAAAGTGACTGATCTTGTATTGATTTTATCCGAAACTCACTTAGGATGTCACAGTTTACTTAAATATTTGAATTTTAAAATATCACATTCTGTTTGACAAAACATAGAAAAAGGAATAATTGGGGATTTCAATTAAACCCAGAGGGGCTAAGGGCAAATTTTTTGTACTTGATTTATGACATCGGTATTAAAAAACGTCCTGGAGAGCTTTTAAATAATGGTGAATTAAATGTATTTTAAACAAAGTTAATACAGCGATCAGTATCCTTATCCCTGACACGTGGCAACAGCGATTAATCACTGACGTGTGTCTGGGGACGAACCAGGGGCAGATTAGTGTTGTGGGGACCCCATGTATGGTGGTATGTGTGGTAATCTGTGTGGTAATCTCTCGGTCACCTAGCTGGCTATGGTTTCATCATGTGCTATAAAAATGTGCTTTATCACATGAACTTTACCAGTCTACTGGAGTTGATAGAATGTCAGTTTCATCCTTATCTTGATATATTTTTTTTAAACTGTACAGTTTAAGTGGATGATTGTTTGTGAAAAATAACTTTTATATTTGAGTATTCTAATTTTCAAAACAGAAAATTTAAAAAAATGAAATTAACTCAAATCATGTCTGACATTAAATAATTTATATCTCTTTGTTTTGTTTCCTGCTTTTTGGCATGGTGACCAAGGCAGTCTGTAAAACATGATATTAGAGTGGTCTGGTCATTCATGCCAAAGGCCTGGGTTTGATTCCCCACATGACTAAAATATGTGAAGCGCATTTATAGCATCCTGCTCCCCCTATGTATTGCACTCATGAAGTCTTTATGGGTGAGAATATAGCTGCACATAATATACAATATTTAATTTGTCTTAATATACAACCGGCTTCGTGATCTAGTGGTAGAGCGCCGCCCGGAGAGCCAAAGGTTGGGGGTTCCTGGCTGCGTCATACCAAAAGACGTTAAAAGATGGTACTTATTGTTACCTTTCCTGGTTCTCAGCATTAAAGGGTGAAAACAAAGACTGGTTGGCTTTGAGTCAGTAATACTGTGTCTGAGTGGGGTATTCATGTTGAACTGATTCATGGTATCCTGGGGCTAGCACTATAAAATCAGCATTAGTCTGGACTAGTACAAGCTGAGCCACACACAAGTGCATGCACATAGTTATATAAGTGCAATAATCTTGGACTCGATGTTAAGCCCTATTTCACCACACCTCACCTCTCTAATATACATGCAGGTGAGCTTCAGTGCCATGGCCCTATGAACTCGTAGCACCTGGGGAAAAGCTTGAGTTATCTGGGGTTCAAGACAACCAACAAAGTGATTTTTCAAAAATCCAACATCATTTTATCAGACATTTTTACTGCTGCTGGTGGTGAAGGGGGCAGCAACACAGGCGAATCTTTCATCTCGCTGGATTGCTGTCATTGTTTTAGTCATATATCAAACAATAGATACACTAACATAACCTTAATCCGTTTTACCCATTTGTCAGTATTCATGTGTCATCACCAGTCATCATATCCCTCTTCAGCAACAGCAGCAAAAGCTGTGATTCCTCACAAGCCACAGAGTACATCACATCCCTCTTCAGCTACAGCAGCAACAGCTGTGATTCCCAACAAGCCACAGAGGTCATCATATCCCTCTACAGCTACAGTAGCAACAGCTGTGATTCCCCACAAGCCACAGAGGTCATCACATCCCTCTTCAGCTACAGCAGCAACAGCTGTGATTCCCCACAAGCCACGGAGGTCACCACATCCCTCTTCAGCAACAGTAGCAACAGCTGTGATTCCCCACAAGCCACAGAGGTAATCACATCCCTCTACAGCTACAGTAGCAACAGCTGTGATTCCCCACAAGCCACAGAGGTCAACACATCCCTCTTCAGCAACAGTAGCAACAGCTGTGATTCCCGACAAGCCACAGAGGTCATCACATCTCTCTTCAGCTCCAGCAGCAACAGCTGTGATTCCCCACAAGCCACAGAGGTCACCACATCCCTCTTCTGCAACAGCAGCTACAGTAGCAGCAGCTGTGATTCCCCACAAGCCACAGAGGTCATCACATCTCTCTTCAGCAACAGTAGCAACAGCTGTGATTCCCCACAAGCCACAGAGGTCATCATATCCCTCTTGAGCTACAGCAGCAACAGCTGTGATTCCCCACAAGCCACAGAGGTCAACACATCCCTCTACAGCTACAGCAGCAACAGCTGTGATTCCCCACAAGCCACAGAGGTCAACAAATCCCTCTTCAGCTACAGCAGCTACAGCTGTGATTCCCCACAAGCCACGGAGTACATCACATCCCTCTTCACCTACAGCAGCAACAGCTGTGATTCCCCACAAGCCACAGAGGTCATCACATCCCTCTTAAGCTACAGCAGCAACAGCTGTGATTCCCCACAAGCCACAGAGGTCAACACATCCCTCTTAAGCTACAGCAGCAACAGCTGTGATTCCACACAAGCCACAGAGGTCAACACATCCCTCTACAGCTACAGCAGCAACAGCTGTGATTCCCCACAAGCCACAGAGGTCATCACATCTCTTTTCAGCTACAGCAGCAACAGCTGTGATTCCCCACAAGCCACAGAGGTCATCACATCCCTCTTAAGCTACAGCAGCAACAGCTGTGATTCCCCACAAGCCACAGAGGTAATCACATCTCTCTTCATATTCAGCAGCAACAGCTGTGATTCCCCACAAGCCACAGAGGTCAACACATCCCTCTACAGCTACAGCAGCAACAGCTGTGATTCCCCACAAGCCACAGAGGTCATCACATCCCTCTACAGCTACAGCAGCAACAGCTGTGATTCCACACAAGCCACAGAGGTCAACACATACTTCTTCAGCTACAGCAGCAACAGCTGTGATTCCACACAAGCCACAGAGGTCAACACATCCCTCTACAGCTACAGCAGCAACAGCTGTGATTCCCCACAAGCCACAGAGGTCATCACATCCCTCTACAGCTACAGCAGCAACAGCTGTGATTCCCCACAAGCCACAGAGGTAATCACATCTCTCTTCATATTCAGCAGCAACAGCTGTGATTCCCCACAAGCCACAGAGGTCAACACATCCCTCTACAGCTACAGCAGCAACAGCTGTGATTCCCCACAAGCCACAGAGGTCACCACATCCCTCTTCAGCTACAGCAGCAACAGCTGTGGTTCCCCACAAGCCACAGAGGTCATCACATCCCTCTTCAGCAACAGCAGCAACAGCTGTGATTCCACACAAGCCACAGAGGTCATCACATCCCTCTTCAGCAACAGCAGCAACAGCTGTGATTCCACACAAGCCACAGAGGTCATCACATCCCTCTTCAGCAACAGCAGCGACAGCAGCAACAGCTGTGATTCCCCACAAGCCACAGAGGTCATCACATCCCTCTTCAGCAACAGCAGCAACAGCTGTGATTCCACACAAGCCACAGAGGTCATCACATCCCTCTTCAGCAACAGTAGCAACAGCAGCAACAGCTGTGATTCCCCACAAGCCACAGAGGTCATCACATCCCTCTTCAGCTACAGTAGCAACTGCTGTGCACCCCCCCCCCCCCTCCCCCTCCCAAGTCACAGAGTACATCACATTCCTTTTCATGTTCAATCTTTTATCAAACTAACACTGTGCAAACATTTCACAAATATTCGGAAGCATATGGACTAGACCTTTTCCTCTTCATCAGATGAAAAATATCTGCTGCTTGATTTACAGCAAGAATTTCCTGTAGGATTAACTTTTTCTAAAACCTTTCCATTTTAAGAATTTTTGTCTTGTGTCTGGGAAGAGGCATTTCATCAAGAATTATTCCTTTATTTTGATCTTTACCAAATCAGATAAGGGTTGACAAATATAAGAACTTTTTCTTTGTCGTGTAATAAACATTTAATTATTTAATTTATTATCCTCGTGAGCATAAGTGGAACCCAAGCGTGTACGTGTAGTTGGAGTCTAGGCCTTGTAGAGGAGTATAGGTACAATCTCATTAAAATCAGATCTTAGTTCTTGCTACCGCTAAACAAAGATCTGAGGACATCCCATTACGGGTCACGTCAGAATGACCTTTCACGAATTTTGACCGACCAATGAAGTGACTGACAAGAAATCGACATTAGCCAATCAGAAGGCAGCTTTCACTAGTTTCAAATTGGCGACTACCCTTCGAAACATATTTTGACGTATTCTCGATTAAAAAAATTAAAACTGATAAGAAGAACACTCTGGAATGGCTTATAGATGGCCTAGATTGTATAGATATAATCATAAAACCCGTAACTGTCATTTGGAATACCTCGTGTTGAATATTTTGTGGTTGCATGATTAGAAAACACATTCCGACTGTCACTTTCATGATCTGGTAAGCGATGCACTGATTGGTCGGATGAAAGGTCATTCTGACGTGACCCCTAATGGGATGTCCTCAGATCTTTGTTTAGTGGTAGCGAGTACAAAGATCTGATTTTAATTCTTGTATGTACGGGTTAGATATTTGAAATTCTATTTATATATTTATCCATTTCCATGTGTTTGTGTGGCGTACATATATGATGCCTTCATATAATAAGCATCATGGCAAGGTATTTTGTTAACAGTTGTGATTTCAAGTCTGCCCTTAAGACATGGGGAACTTATTTTAACCATTCTACTATAATTTGAACCATGCCATTTTCACTCTAATACAATGAATTTTGAACATGTATTTCAAGCCCATATTTGTTCCACTTGCTAGACCAATTGTTTTCTTTTTACTAAATTTGCATGGAAAATATCTTACTGACACCAACAAATAGAATAAGATAAATTACCGTTTGAATGAAAGTATGCTTATATGAATCTCTATAATTTAGCAGTTATTTGAGCATTTCTAGGCTTGTATTAAATAAACCTTTTCAAAATAATTATCTTATTCCTAAGTTATTGCCTTTATAAGCTAGACCAATTAATTTCTTGGTCACAGATTTGGAATTTCTATTCAATACAACCTCTATCGGCCTACTTTGTGGCAGCTAATCGAAAACAAAGAAAAGAAACTGATCTGGGTCTTACAACATAGTTTCTTTTAGGATATATTCTGTATTTTTTTTAAATATCTATATTCACCATGTACAAATATTTCAATTATCAGAGAACCACTCCTTTGAGTGTCTAGTTTTACCTGACTTGTCACTCCAAGCCTATCATGTGTCACATTGTGCCTTGCACAGTGATGAAAACACAACTAGGCATTTCCTATCTCTGATTCATTGCAATGTGCTTCCTTTCCGTGGAGTACAAGTGGTGTATGTTTTGTAGCAACTGGAATCTTCCAATAACATTGAGGTGGAAGTTTTCTTGAGACAGTTTAACTTTAGAATTGTAACTTTATGATAATATTTTTTTATAGGTTGTCTTTCCATGTACCTTGTTTTCTCATTGAAAATTTTGAAAACAATTCATATCCTATGGTTAAGTGTATTGTTTTCTGGTGATGTGTTTTTATACAAGGACTGTGGTGATACACCTGGTTACTGTGGCGATACACCTGGTTACTGTGGCGGTACACCTCGTTACTGTGGGGGTAAACCTCATTACTGTGGTGATACACCTCGTTACTGTGGCAATACACCTCGTTACTGTGGCGGTACACCTCGTTACTGTGGTGATACACCTTGTTACTGTGGCGATACACCTCATTACTGTGGTGATACACCTCGTTACTGTGGGGATACACCTCGTTACTGTGGTGATACACCTCGTTACTCTGGTGATACACCTCGTTACTGTGGTGATATACCTTGTTACTGTGGCAATGCACCTTGATACTCTGGCATTACACCTCGTTACTCTGGCGATACACCTCGTTACTGTGGTGATACACCTCGTTACTGTGGTGATACACCTTGTTACTGTGGTGATACACCTCATTACTGTGGTGATACACCTCGTTACTTTTGTGATACACCTTGTTACTGTGGTGATACCTCGTTACGATACAAAAGGTATCTTGGTAGGTCATGATATGATACATTAAATGTAGACAGCCTTATCAACCATTTAAGGATTCCAACATCGCATTCAGGGATATATAGAGCAACGCCTGCATCTATATAGAGCAACACCTGCATCTATATACAGGGATACATAGAGCAACACCTACATCTATATACAGGGATATATAGAGCAACACCTGCATCTATATACAGGGATATAAAGAGCAACGCCTGCATCTATATACAGGAATATATAGAGCAACGCCTGCATCTATATACAGGGATATATAGATCAACGCCTGCATCTATATACAGGGATATATAGAGCAACACCTGCATCTATATACAGGGATATATAGAGCAATGCCTGCATCTATATACAGGAATATATAGAACAACACCTGCATCTATATACAGGGATATATAGAGCAACACCTGCATCTATATACAGGGATATATAGAGCTACACCTGCATCTATATACAGGGATATATAGAGCCACAACTGCATCTATATGCAGGGATATATAGAGCAACACCTGCATCTATATAAAGGGATATATAGAGCAACGCCTGCATCTATATACAGGGATATATAGAGCTACGCCTGCATCTATATACAGGGATATATAGAGCAACGCCTGCATCTATATACAGGGATATATAGAGCAACGCCTGCATCTATATACAGGGATATATAGAGCAACGCCTACATCTATATACAGGGATATATAGAGCAACACCTGCATCTATATACAGGGATATATAGAGCAACACCTGCATCTATATACAGGGATATATAGAGCAACGCCTGCATCTATATACAGGGATATATAGAGCAACACCTGCATCTATATACAGGGATATATAGAGTAACACCTGCATCTATATACAGGAATATATAGAACAACACCTGCATCTATATACAGGGATATATAGAGCAACGCCTGCATCTATATACAGGGATATATAGAGCAACGCCTGCATCTATATACAGGGATATATAGAGCAACACCTGCATCTATATTCAGGGATATATAGAGCAAGACCTGCATTTATATACAGGGATATATAGAGCCACACCTGCATCTATATTCAGGGATATATAGAGCAACACCTGCATCTATATACAGGGATATATAGAGCAACGCCTGCATCTATATACAGGGATATATAGAGTAACACCTGCATCTATATACAGGGATATATAGAGCAACACCTGCATCTATATACAGGGATATATAGAGCAACACCTACATCTATATACAGGGATATATAGAGCAACGCCTGCATCTATTACAGGGGAATGGTGTTTATATATTATGCTATTTGATAAGATGTATCAAGAAGAGATTTGAAACCTGATGAAAGAAATCCTACAACGCAGTGACTTGTTTAGAGCTTATTGTTTAGGAATGGCAGCTGGTAGTCTCAAAACATCATCAGGACTTCATGCATATTATACATCAAATGATTTCTCTCAAGGCCATTCCATGCATGTGTAACCCATAGTTTTGTAAAACACAGATTTCCATAACCCATTCAGTTGTAAGTAATGAATTGTACAAAATAATTTTTCATGAAATATGTTAATCTTCAATACAGTTAGTTGTGTATTTATTATCAATCATACCCTCACCACTATCTAAACTATATTGCATAGTTTAAAACTATATTTGATTGATTGTACATATAAGTCATCAAAGGATTATAACCAGGAAGCATATCTAGTGATATTATAGAATGACTAGAGTTAGTTCCTTCTGTGTCCTATGTGTGTAGTCAGCCTTGTGTACTCGGCTGTGGCCTTCTCACTCGCTCACTCGTCAACCCCCTCTCTTCCTCACCTCCCCCATCTCATGTCTCCGACCTCCTTTCTCCCTCACCCTCTCTTCCCAACCCTCTCACTTCCCACCCCCTCACTGCACTACCCCTTTTCCCTCACTCATCTCTCCCCCCACCTTTTTTCTCACCTCCCTTCCTTCCTCTCCCCTAGACCCATGAAGATCTGGGGTAGAATAGGTCTTCAGCAACCCATGCTTGCCGTAAAAGGCGACTATGCTTGTCGTAAAAGGTGACTAACGGGATCAGGTGGTCAGGCTCGCTGACTTGGTTGATGCATGTCATCGATCACAATTGAGTGGATCGATGCTCTTGATGTCAATCACTGGATTGTCCAGCTATATGACAGCGGTCTGTAAATAATGGAGTCTGGACTAGACAATTCAGTGATTGACATCATGAGCATCGATCCACTCAATTGGAATTGATGCTCATGATGTCAATTACTGGATTGTCCAGTCCAGACTCGATTATTTACAGACCGCCATCATATAGCTGGAATATTGCTGAGTGCAGCATTAAACGACAAACATACAAAACACTCTCCCCTCTATCACTCTCTCCCACCCCACCTACCTTTCTCCCTCACTCATCACCCAACCGTCTCTCTTCCTCACCCCCCATCTCCTTTCCAATCCCCTACTCAACCACCCTCTCAACCAACTCCACCTCCTTTACCCCCCTCCGTCTCACTACCGACCCCATCTCTCCCCACCCCACCCTCACTGCACCACCCCATCTCTCCCCCCTTAAAGATACATTAAATACCTTGCATCCAGTTTTAAGATAAGGATGCCATTATTACTAGTTCCTCCAGTCCAATGTCCTCTCCGCTCCCCCACCCACCCCCCAAACTTTGCCTACTGAATGGAATAACTGCGTAGTTGCCCCTCCTCCTCCAGGTCCACCAGCTGTACCCCATGTGCGGAGGAGGCCACCGCTCCGAGCCCCGCCAGCCTTGTCCCTGGGTCGCGCTGACATCCGCTCCTATCTCGCCTTTCAATTGTGCATCATTGGAAATCTGGGGGTCATAACAAAGTAACATGTTTTTATCAACTGTAGATCAACAGCAAAAATAGTTTACCCAAACAGTTTTGCTTACTTCACTGATTTTCATGTTTTTAAAGGGATTATGTCAAATTCCAAACATTGTATAGTGTTTTCCTGTCTTGATATGTAGCATATGTCTTGTTTTCTGTAAAGATTTCATAATGCCTAGAATGTGTTTGATTTTACATTTTAGGAAAAAAATGAAATTTGAGAATAAAGTTTATATTAGACTTTTTGTTTGTTATTGAAACTAACTTCCCTGTGAATATTTTAATGAATTAAGAAGATATGTTTATGTAACACATGTCCATGCTCTATTTGTTTATATGTCAATTATGTGTTTGACATAATAAATAAACAATGTTGTAGTAATCATGTATATCAAATTTCGTGAAAGAAATTAAAGAATATATTCAGTTACATCAAAAACATACAATTCTTCAATTCAACCTTTACATAAGATACCACAGACGAATTCAATAGACAGATTTAAGTTATCAAATGCATCATAAAACTGGTAGAAGATTTTGTGTTATAGGAATTTTTTGTTTCTAAACAAAATAAATTGGGTTAGCAAACTGCATAATGACAAAAGAATGGGATTTGTGATCTAGGCGAAAAACATACTGTGTTCTGTGTTTTCAATGCAGAGCAAGGTTACCTGTAGATTTAATGGCATTAATTTGAATTTGGAACTGATGTGAACCATGACAAAATTAAGCAGTGTTTCAACAGTTTAATCTGTAATGGACAATGATGTGGCATTGTTTTAGCTGTTTGATCTCTGGGGGACCGTGATGCTGCAGTGTTTCAGCAGTTTGATCTCTGAGGGACAATGATGTGGCAGTGTGTCAGCAGTTTAATCTGTGAGGGATCGTGATGCTGCAGTGTTTCAGCAGTTTCATGTCTGAGGGACAGTGATGTGGCAGTGTTTCAGCAGTTTGATCTCTGAGGGACCGTGATGTGGCAGTGTTTCAGCAGTTTGATGTCTGAGGGATCGTGATGCTGCAGTGTTTCAGCAGTTTGATCTCTGACAGACCGTGATGTGGCAGTGTTTCAGCAGTTTCATCTCTGACGGACCGTGATGTGGCAGTGTTTCAGCAGTTTGATCTCTGAGGGACAATGATGTGGCAATGTTTCAGCAGTTTGATGTCTGAGGGACCGTGATGTGGCAATGTATCAGCAGTTTGATCTCTGAGGAACCATGATGTGGCAGTGTTTCAGCAGTTTGATCTCTGAGGGACAATGATGCTGCAGTGTTTCAGAAGTTTGATCTCTGAGGGACAATGATGCTTCAGTGTTTCAGCAGTTTGATCTCTGAGGGACAATGATGTGGCAGAGTTTCAGCAGTTTGATCTCTGAGGGACCTTGATGTGGCAGTGTTTCAGCAGTTTGATCTCTGAGGGACCGTGATGTGGCAGTGTTTCAGCAGTTTGATCTCTGAGGGACAATGATGTGGCAATGTTTCAGCAGTTTGATCTCTGAGGGACCGTGATGTGGCAGTGTTTCAGCAGTTTGATCTCTGACGGACCGTGATGTGGCAGTGTTTCAGCAGTTTGATCTCTGACGGACCGTGATGTGGCAGTGTTTCAGCAGTTTGATCTCTGAGGGACCGTGATGCTGCAGTGTTTCAGCAGTTTGATCTCTGACGGACCTTGATGTGGCAGTGTTTCAGCAGTTTGATCTCTGAGGGATCGTGATGCTGCAGTGTTTCAGCAGTTTGATCTCTGACGGACCTTGATGTGGCAGTGTTTCAGCAGTTTAATCTGTGAGGGACCGTGATGTGGCAATGTTTCAGCAGTTTGATCTCTGAGGGACAATGATGCTGCAGTGTTTCAGCAGTTTGATCTCTGAGGGACAATGATGTGGCAATGTTTCAGCAGTTTGATCTCTGAGGGACCGTGATGCTGCAGTGTTTCAGCAGTTTGATCTCTGAGGGACAATGATGCTGCAGTGTTTCAGCAGTTTGATCTCTGAGGGACCGTGATGCTGCAGTGTTTCAGCAGTTTGATCTCTGAGGGACCGTGATGTGGCAGTGTTTCAGCAGTTTGATCTCTGAGGGACAATGATGCTGCAGTGTTTCAGCAGTTTGATCTCTGAGGGACAATGATGTGGCAGTGTTTCAGCAGTTTGATCTCTGAGGGACCGTGATGTGGCAGTGTTTCAGCAGTTTGATCTCTGAGGGACAATGATGCTGCAGTGTTTCAGCAGTTTGATGTCTGAGGGACCGTGATGTGGCAATGTTTCAGCAGTTTGATCTCTGAGGGACCGTGATGCTGCAGTGTTTCAACAGTTTGATCTCTGAGGGACTTAGTGATGATGTGGCAGTGTTTCAGCAGTTTGATCTCTGGGGGACAATGATGTGGCAGTGTTTCAGCAGTTTGATCTCTGAGGGACAATGATGCTGCAGTGTTTCAGGAGTTTGATCTCTGAGGGACAATGATGTGGCAGTGTTTCAGCAGTTTGATCTCTGAGGGACTTAGTGATGATGTGGCAGTGTTTCAGCAGTTTGATCTCTGAGGGACAATGATGCTGCAGTGTTTCAGGAGTTTGATCTCTGAGGGACAATGATGTGGCAATGTTTCAGCAGTTTGATCTCTGAGGGACAATGATGTGGCAGTGTGTCAGCAGTTTAATCTGTGAGGGATTGTGGTGCTGCAGTGTTTCAGCAGTTTGATCTCTGAGGGACAATGATGTGGCAGTGTTTCAGCAGTTTGATCTCTGAGGGACCGTGATGCTGCAGTGTTTCAGCAGTTTGATCTTTGAGGGACTTAGTGATGATGTGGCAGTGTTTCAGCAGTTTGATCTCTGAGGGACCGTGATGTGGCAGTGTTTCAGCAGTTTGATCTCTGAGGGACTTAGTGATGATGTGGCAGTGTTTCAGCAGTTTGATCTCTGAGGGACCGTGATGTGGCAGTGTTTCAGCAGTTTGATCTCTGAGGGACCGTGATGCTGCAGTGTTTCAGCAGTTTGATCTCTGAGGGACAATGATGCTGCAGTGTTTCAGCAGTTTGATCTCTGAGGGACCATGATGCTGCAGTGTTTCAGCAGTTTGATCTCTGAGGGACAATGATGCTGCAGTGTTTCAGAAGAAATGATTATTTTATCAGGAATAATATATTCCATTTACTTGTTATTTTAGTTGCAGCTTTCAGAAAAGATATTGAACATCATGAGAATGATAAGCGTAGAAACACTTTGGAACAGTTGATGGCTATTGCTGGATATTTTTCAATTTGACCAGTCCTCCCATACATGTGTTTCGATTGAGAAAATGTTATGTTGACATAGAATTGTCAAATTCCCACAAATATGCCTTTTAACCAGTCAAACTATGGCATTATGATAGATCTATCCAATCATTGACAACTAAGGGTCGTGTCAAGGCAACAATAGCAGTAATCTGATCAGGGTTGCTGTAATTTGGCCTAACAGAAAGTTAAGTCAGTCAGACGATCAGTTCACACTTGATTTCTCCCAAATTGATGTAAACAATATTGAATGAAATTTTGAATCCAATTGATAAAATATGTTTTAAACATAACTCCAGATATTCCATGAACCCGTTTTTTATAACCAGATAGTGTAATAATAGGCTTAAATTGTGTACTTGTGTACAATTTAGAATTTGTTGACTGGTATTTCTGGTGTTGTTACATGCTCACAGTTATCAGCTGGTAATGTTTTTTTATGATAGGGAAAACAAATTGTGTCAGTGTAAAACTTGAGTTTATTTAAAATGTACATAAATTTTGATAGCCATGCATTGCCGCACGCAGAAACCTAGTTTGCATTTTATTGAAAGGCGCAATAGCGAGGGAACACTCTAAATCTTGACATATTTTGTAGTAAAAACATTGTGTTCAACCATTATTTGATATTTATTATATTAAAGTTAATTGTCAACTTTGTCTTATCAAAAATGAAATATTCAGGTTTTTTGTCCTTTGTATGAAGAATTATATGTTAGCTTTAAAGATGTAATGATATATGCTGTTAAATTGGACTTCACTTGCTCTGCAGCACTTTTAGCATGATGCAACACCATTGCTGATGTAATACAGACAGAATTCTTTTTGTTTTGTGATGATACAAAGACATCACAGTGTGCCGTTGTTGCCATGTTGACCCTGGTATCTTTTCTACAAGGTTTCCAATACAGAAGATGCTACATTTTCATAAAGATGTGGATAATGAAATATGATTACTTTTGTGTGTGTCCCACTGATTGTACAAATCTCCCTTATATTTACAAAGTGTATCATCACTAATTGACAGACCCTAATTCAGTGATCATCTCACCTGTAATAATTGACAGCTTTTAGCAAGATTCCAGCAATATCACGGCAGGAGACACCAGAAATGGGCTTCGTACATTGTACCCATATTGGGAATCTAACCCGGGTCTTCGGCGTGACAAGCAAACACTTTAACCACTAGGCTACCCCACCACCCCTCATCTCACCTTGAATACCTGACCAACCCCAAACTCAGAGACATGGATTGAAAAATGCTTGCAGTCTCTCCATGAACTCCTACACTTGAGTTTGCCCATGTTCAGGAGTAACATCATCTAATCCTATGCTGTTATGGTTAACATTTCAACATTCAGATGCACCTCCCAAGATTCTTCAGGATACCAAAAAATATGTGAATTTCAGGAATGTGAGATATTACGAGAACCTTTGGCATCTGGCACAATCTCATGCACCTGTAAGGTCTCAATCTTGTGGTTTTCAATTCTCAGAAAGTAGAAAACAATTAATGTCGGAATCCAATTCATGAGCAACAAGATGGCCTGGAGCTGATCTGCTTCAGCTAAAAATATAAAGATGTGTCTGTTTGCGTACATGGTTTTTATCGCCCACTAATTTGTTTGATTTTCTTGGTTTCGCAGCAGGTCTACAGGGAAGTGTTAGAAATGGAGGTGGTGTTTGGTGAAATAATGTTTATATCCCGTGCATAACACTGCTGCATGAATCGCATGAGAGGAGCACCCTCTCCAATGTGTGTATGTGTTCCTCGTCGTCTCCTCTATACAGAACCATTGTGAAGTAAGGGTCCTTGATTGGGTTACTTGACGAGTCGTAGAGTATCTAAAACCATTTTTGAAAGTGCTTGATTTTAGGAATCTGCTTTCTTCTTTCATGTTTGAAGTTAATACCGACAAATGTTTATGCATTCAACCTCCTATTAAAATGTCTAGCCATTGAAGTTACCACTAATGCACCCATTGTTCATTCTATCTTTGCTCCGACCTTACCATCTGTTCTGTTTGTGTTTCAATCTGTCGAACTACTCACCCATCCATTTGTTTGATTGTTGAATACTGTTGAATATACCTATTGAATTTTATAAGCCAACAAAACCAATGGGATTCCGCTGTAGAATAGGTCCCCAACTTATTCTGGTTGTATAGGGTGACTTAATGGATGAGGTGGTCTGACGGGCTAGGTGACTTGGTTGATGTCAACATACCCTGATGGAGTGACTCATTGCTCACAATATCGATCACTAGATTGTCTCCCAAGAAATGCTGTTTTGTTTGTTTAAAAGTGTCAAGTAAACTACAGTTTCTGTGAGGGCAAGAAACTGTAATTGTTTTCGGTATATTATTAGAAATAGGGTTCTGTTTCCTAGCTTCACATTCTTGTTTTAAAGATATGGGTCAGCCTACAGAAGTAGAATCTGGTCAGCTGACTGGTCAGTGCAGGGCTATAGCTGCCTGCCTGTCTGCAGCCTGTACCAGTTATTTGACACATTCAGCCAGTCTAGATGACCTTGGCTGGGTTTGGAGTCACATTGAAATCTTTGCCCTTGTAATCAAAAATACATTCCACTTAGTGATGGAGGTGTGGCTGGATTCTATTTTAGCTTTATCTTGTGTAATACCTCAGTTCAACTTCCAATATGTTGTTTTTTGATAGGAGGAAAGTGTCTTTTGACTCTTTGTATTTATCAATGTTGGCAGTTGGTTTTGTTAGTTTGAAGAACAAAATTTGGGATATTTTTGTTGATCAATATTGTATTCTACAGCTTATCAATAATCAATGTGACCTTGGTTTCCTTTGCCTTAGCTGGAATATTGCTAAAATGGTCAAGGACTGCCCTATATACCCTGGTCAGACACTCAGTGCCTGTAGTGACATGGTCAAGGACTGCCCTATAAACTCTGGTCAGACACTCTGTGCCTGTAGTGACATGGTCAAGGACTGCTGTATATACTCTGGTCAGACACTCAGTGCCTGTAGTGCCATGGTCAAGGACTGCTGTGTATACTCTGGTAAGACACTCAGTGCCTGTAGTGCCATGGTCAAGGACTGCCCTATATACTCTGGTCAGACACTCAGTGCCTGTAGTGCCATGGTCAAGGACTGCTGTATATACTCTGGTCAGACACTCAGTACCTGTAGTGCCATGGTCAAGGACTGCTGTACATACTCTGGTCAGACACTCAGTGCCTGTAGTGCCATGGTCAAGGACTGCCCTATATACTCTGGTCAGACACTCAGTGCCTGTAGTGCCATGGTCAAGGACTGCTGTATATACTCTGGTCAGACACTCAGTGCCTGTAGTGCCATGGTCAAGGACTGCTGTGTATACTCTGGTCAGACATTCAGTGCCTGTAATGCCATGGTCAAGGGCTGCCCTATATACTCTGGTCAGACACTCAGTGCCTGTAGTGCCATGGTCAAGGACTGCCATATATACTCTGGTCAGACACTCAGTGCCTGTAGTGACATGGTCAAAGACTGTTGTATATACTCTGGTCAGACACTCAGTGCCCGTAGTGTTATGGTCAAGGACTGCTGTATATACTCTGGTCAGACACTCAGTGCCTGTTGTGACATGGTCAAGGACTGCTGTATATACTCTGGTCAGACACTCAATGCCTGTAGTGACATGGTCAAAGACTGTTGTATATACTCTGGTCAGACACTCAGTGCCCGTAGTGTTATGGTCAAGGACTGCTGTATATACTCTGGTCAGACACTCAGTGCCTGTAGTGCCATGGTCAAGGACTGCTGTATATACTCTGGTCAGACACTCAGTGGCTGTAGTGACATGGTCAAGGACTGCTTTATATACTCTGGTCAGACACTCAGTGCCTGTTGTGACATGGTCAAGGACTGCTGTATATACTCTGATCAGACACTCAGTGCCTGTAGTGCCATGGTCAAGGACTGCCCTATATACTCTGGTCAGACACTCAGTGCCTGTAGTGCCATGGTAAAAGACTGCTGTATATACTCTGGTCAGACACTCAGTGCCTGTAGTGTTATGGTCAAGGACTGCTGTATATACTCTGGTCAGACACTCAGTGCCTGTAGTGCCATGGTCAAGGACTGCTGTATATACTCTGGTCAGACACTCAATGCCTGTAGTGACATGGTCAAGGACTGCTTTATATACTCTGGTCATACACTCAGTGCCTGTAGTGCCATGGTAAAAGACTGCTGTATATACTCTGGTCAGACACTCAGTGCCTGTAGTGCCATGGTCAAGGACTGCTGTATATACTCTGGTCAGACACTCAATGCCTGTAGTGACATGGTCAAGGACTGCTTTATATACTCTGGTCATACACTCAGTGCCTTTAGTGCCATGGTAAAAGACTGCTGTATATACTCTGGTCAGACACTCAGTGCCTGTAGTGCCATGGTCAAGGACTGCTCTAGTTATGGTAAGGCAATTTGGAGCAGTAGTGACATGGTCAAGTCTCTATGACCTCTCATGTCAACCTGGACTCTACAGTCAACTTGACAATGATGTTGAGATTTGATCTTTCCCTCTGAGGCCAAGTAGCCAGCCGCTGACTTTGGGTCATGGTGTGTAATTTACACTGGTTCCTGTGGAGCTGCCAACTGCAGGATACAACACACACAAGTAGCTTAACAAGAAGTAATTAGATAAAACACTCGGAGGCCACTTCAAGATGTCATGTTTGTTTTTTCTGCTGATTATTTTGTAAATAAAACATCTTGTTTGTGGGCAACAGCTTCTTCATATCTAATTTCAACTCACTTCAGAAGTGAGCAGGGGTTCACCAGGAGGTATCGTTCATGTGGATGTACTGATGTCGTGCTACAATCACGCAACACCATCCCGAAAAACTGTGGCCCTGCTAATGTGCAGAACAACATTCAAGACAGGGGTAATCACATCAGACATAATGATACAATGGGGCTGAGAAATAAAATCCTGATCGATGTGCAATGTCATGTCACATTACTTTTCTTGTGCCTACACTTGTCAGTTTGATTATCCTTGCAAATGTCTGAAAATATCACTCTCATTCAATTCATCTGTCTGTATCAACATTTGTTTGGGACATTTCATAAAATTAGACATTTCTTCTGAAACTCTTGTGAAGACAGGTCAGTTTGCTTCTTCAGGATTGAATGATTCCTCCTCATTGACTTACCTGGCTGTGTGTTCACAGGCCAAATATCAGGTGAAGATAACCTGGCTTCTGAGAGTTTTTGGGCCTTCGGTCCTGCTCCACACTGAAGCACATGTAGCACATAAGGGCATGTGGTGTCTCCATGGGTAAGTGACTTTGTTTGAAAGATGCCTCTGTTCAGCTTGCAGTGAATGGGTACCCGGTAAAGTGACTGTCAGCCTTCTAGCGCCTCACAGGCAGCTGGGGTCTAAGTCTGTTATGGTCTAAGCAAATTTGAGCAGCTAAAATTAGGAAGGTGTACAAAACAAATCCATGATATAATATATATTAATGAATTGCCAAGAGCTGTGTGGCACCACTAAACTCCATGTACCTGAAGAGAAGGCTTGATTGTGCTCTTGTTACAGGCTTCATACTTTGTATTCCCGTGAAGATCCGGGGTAGAATAGGTCTTCAGCAACCCATGCTTGCCGTAAATGGCCACTATGCTTGTCGTAAAAGGCAACTAACGGGATCGGGTGGTCCCAATTGTGTGGATCGATGTTCATGATGTGAATCACTGGATTGTCTGGTCCAGACTTGATTATTTACAGATCGCCGTCATATAGCTGGAATATTGCTGGGTGCTGCGTAAAACAACAAACCAAACCCAAATCCTACTTTGCAGTTTGCTCAAGTGCTTGGTTCCCATGTCATGAACTGTTTCTATTTACCGTTGCCCTCTTTGAGTTATGTATATTAGGGCTGCAACAATACAGTAGGGTCACGATACGATACATATCTTGATATTCTAGTCACGATAGGATACATATCTTGATATTCTGGTCACGTTACGATGCGTATTTCGATACGCAACGATAAGAAACAAAAGCTTTTATTATATTTCAAGTTTTATATATATACTAACGCAATAACAAGGGAACACTGTACTTAAGATTTGCGTTCCGTATTGTGGCGTATCGATATATAGGCCCACGTGTATCGTGTATCGTATTGTGTGTCAAATATCGGGATGCATTGGAATATCAAGGTATCGTTTCACCTTTAATGTTAATACTAAGATTTGTTCACTCCAAGTTAAACTTACTGAGAGAATTAACATAGAATTCCTGATGTTAAATTATGTGTGGTATGTCAGACCAGTGTATGCTAAGATTTGATCTACCATGAAGATAGAAGCCATTATTCTTATCTAACAGGATCTGACTGCTAATACCACAAGGCATGCATCACTAATTTCAAACCAAACATTATCATCTGAAGAGTTTATTAGAACATATTAATGACTTCTGTTTTGGAAATATCTTAAAATATACATTATATGTAAATATAGGTTTTCCTTGAACAAACATCCCTTTTGTCAGCTTCCTACCATCGTGTTTGTCAATGCACAAGGGAGAAAGAGGAGGATATTACGGCTATTATTACACTAGAGAGTTTTATCAGATCTTAACTATTGGCTTGTTTTCCCCCCATTCACTGTTAACCCTCTCACTGTTATCAACAGCAGTGTTTCATATATGTTCATTTTGGAAGAGCTTTCTTTACAACAATGATCAAAGCATTCTTGTGTCTGAAATAGTGTTTAACCTGGTTAATCCGTACACCCCACTTCTTGGTGATTTGACAAGCAAAAGCTTCAACCACAAGGCTATACCACTGCCCTAATCACCTAGAAGGTGGGGTAGCCCAGTGGTTAAAGCGTTTGCTCGTCACGCCGAAGGACCAGATTCATTTCCCCACTTGTGAAGCCATTTCTGTTGTTCCAAAATGTGATATTGCTGGAACAGTGCTAAGAGTGGCGTAAAATGTTTTTCACTCACTGTGATTACTGCTTTGATACTTACATGCATACAAAGTGACATTACTCAGTATTTATCAGGAAGTTTGTTAGTTCAGTCCATTTCACTGGGTACGCTACCAGATTAGGACATTTTAGCAATTTTTGATTGACTGTCGTTGACAGTTAATATGTGTTTTGTGGAAGGAGGCAAATGATGTAGAATCTTCTTTTCATCCTTCGGGTACATGGGTGGTCTGGTTTTCTTACACACCTGTGGGTGAGAAACCCATTTGAGATCACTGGTATCAAACATACGTATGTTTGAGATCAAATTCTAGGCCAGTGATTGGCTACTCCATGGTGATGACCTGAGGTCAGATAATGACGGACTACTTTCCAGATCGTAAGTCATTGATAAGTTGCTTGTGCTTCTGTAGAATGTCCATCTACGTCTGTGTTGAACGTAATGGTTTAAGAGTGTTAATAGATATATATTCCCGTATTACGGGTTTTCGGATGCTTATGAAACATTCGCTAATCACAAGAACCGTAAAACATCTCATTCACTTATCAAAGACAGCTTTATCTAAAAATCAAACCATGATCTGAGTATTTACAATGTCTGTTGACAAAACAAAACTTGTTAGTTGGAGGAATTTGTGACAAACATGGCCGTCTGAAAACATTTGATGTTCGAAAACATATGATCAGACGATATATATATATGTCTCTCCTCTTCAACCCACACTTAGAAGTCGACTAAAATTTAAAATACATCACACACACTAAACGTTTTGAATTCTTTTGGAAATTCCCTCTTCTGTGATACCATCCACTGTCATTTTAGGCAAAGCAAAATTACTGTGTTTAGAAATCTAAATATCGAATATTAAGTCGAAGGATTGAATTTCAAAAATAGCATATTAGTATTCGAGTGCCTGTTAGATACCATTTATCTCACAACTCGTTGTTTCAAAGCATATCTAACTTGCTTTTGCTCGTTAGATACGTTTTGAAACAACTCGTAAGATAAATGGTATGTGACAGGCATTCGTGTAGTAATCTCTATGACTAAAACACTGCCTATTTCTTAGACTTGCACAGGTCTCTAAGGCAATGATTAGTAGTTTGAATCATGATTTCCAGATTATATATGCAATGTACTATCCGCTTACCCAGACTTAGAATAAATAGACATCCTTGGACTTGGAGCAAGGCCACATTTAAGTATGCAGTGTTTGGTCCTTAGCGATGCCAAGCATTTCTCATCTTGGGTTCAAACCCAAGATACACCACAATCATGGTCCTTGGTTTGTCGACACATACCCATGCATGCTGATTCATTAAAGTGGTAAGCATGTTCAGCTTGCATCAATCCAGCATTATGTTGTCATGCTTTAATATGACTAGAATACCAACCCCCCAATCACTCACTCACTCACTCACTCACGCGATTTATGAAATCAAATGAGGTAGATGGGGACTAAAATCTAATGTATTAACCTTAATTTTATACAAATATAACATTATTAAAATATGCTTCTGTATATTACAAGCATAGGCAACCCTAAGTATACTCATCGCCAATAGAAATGCGAACGTCGAGTCCAAGATTATTGCACTTATTTAGTGATGTGCATGCAAGTGTGTGTGTGTGTGTGTGTGTGTGTGTGTGTGTGTGTGTGTGTGTGTGTGCGTGTGCGCGTGTGTGGCTGCTTGTACTAATCTGGACTGATGCCGATTTATAGTACTAGCCCGCTGAGATACCATGCCACAGTTTAACATGAATACCCACTCAGATACGGTATACTGACTCCGAGCCGACCAGTCCTTGTTTTAGCCCCTTAATGCCGAGCACCAGACAGGGTAACAGCAAGAACCATCTTTCAACATCTTTTGGTATGATGCGGCTGGGGGTTGAACCCACGACCCTCCGCTCTCTGGGTGGACACTCTACCACTAGACCACAGAAACGGTTCGACCCATAGAAACATATAGAGAAGTATGTACGTTAAGAAGAAATGTTTCCAATGTGTACCACTTAATGACAAAACTAACAATCAGTCAAGTTTTACCTCAGTGTGACCCTATTCTTATCACGATATGCTGCACGTGACTTTCATACTTTGCACGCTAATCCTGCACAAGACAAATGGTGCATCTCGAGTCATGGATCTATGATGTCAGTTGTGATGCATTCATGAGCATCGGTTCACACAACATACCAGTATGTTTGTTTGCGATCGAACCAATCTAATAACTCTTAAATATGAGTAAGTCTCCATATATTAACCAACATGTATGGTATTCATGGATCTATGATGTCAGTTGTGATGCATTCATGAGCATCGGTTCACACAACATACCAGTATGTTTGTTTGCGATCGAACCAATCTAATAACTCTTAAATATGAGTAAGTCTCCATATATTAACCAACATGTATGGTATTCATGGATCTATGATGTCAGTTGTGATGCATTCATGAGCATCGGTTCACACAACATACCAGTATGTTTGTTTGCGATCGAACCAATCTAATA